AATTTTAAATCATAAAGACACTGAGCTGAAAAAGTTAGCTAACTACACATGGTTTGCTAACTGCAAAAAGTTTTGCAAATTCACTTTTAATATTCCTTAAAATGTGTTAAAAAAAACCTGGTATCACATATTTATATCTAAATTATGCATACATTAGTATCTATACTGTAAATCTTTGCTTGGAGAGAATAAATTTAAAACTCCTGACGCGTGAACTGTAGAGCATATTAATAACTTTTCAGTAGGCATGATTGTTTTGATAAACGAACCACTTTATTTAAGCTAAATTTTCAAGATGGCCGCAATTCAAGAAGTTTCTTTACCTCTTCAATTTATTTAAAGTTTTATTAAATCAGATATTGAATATAATCGTCTGACAAAACATTTCCCTTTCTTTGTGAACCGTAGCGTATAATATCACATACTTCAACTTCAATTACGTTCTAAGTCACTCTAAATAGTCAGTTCCTCTTCCTCATACTTGTGCACGCATTTCAATTGTTCCATAAGTACCTGTAGATAGTTTATCGTTTGAATTTTTTATTTTTTTGTTCCAAGATTTCAGAAACGAGCGGTATTCTGTAATCATCACGTTCAAAAGCTGGACTGAAGTGTCAGAGTTTCGCAGAAGAAACCTCCCGAGATAATGACGAGAAAATAATAACATAAGAAAATAATGAATTAATGAAAATAAAAATGGAATCTTCATTACTCAACCGGTCGTAACCGGTTTGGAAATGCCTTCCAGCTTTTAGAATAAGTTTTTTTATGTGTTTTCTTTTATATCTTAGAATAATAATAATGCATAGTAGCTTTTGGAGGTAACAAAATGAGATTATCAAAAGTCAAGGATAACGGTTTTATATTGAACTTTCTGATTTAGCACCGCAATATACAATCTCTGACCGCAACTTTCAATCTACGATTGATGATTAATTATTTAAAGTTTAGATTCTGGATTAGAAGATAAGCTTCGAGCGTTTATTTACTGGAAAAAAAATCATGTTTATCAGGATTTCTTTTGAACATTTTTTTTCTTTCGACTTTAGGTTTTTGCTCTTATTTCTTCACTTAATAAATATGAGGAGTTCATTTTTAAAAAAATAGAATCAGAAATATTTTTTAATAGTTATTTTAATATTAGATACTCAGATAGAATAATCAGAGTTCTCAGAATTCTGATTTGCGTAGAGAACATTTTAAATAACTCATATAAAACTACAAACAGTATGAATGTATAAGAGATAACAAAGAGCGGAGAACCAACCTTATGATTTTATAATTGCTCGTACGTTACTGTTGTACGTGAAAATAAGCAAATAAAAATATTATTTATAATAATGATAAAAATAAAATAAATAAAATGAAAAAATCTTGTTTTAATTATTTTTAAAGCAGGCATAAAAAATATTTTTCTGTCTATTTCAGTAGCAAGAAATAGTTTAGTGTTGGCATAGTGTTGTGCTTTTATTTATATTTACATTCTCCAAGTATTCCACTAGCTGACCCATTTTAGTTTTTGTTGTGACACTTTAAATGTGGTGCCTAAATCAACAAACATAAAACTGGCATGTTAAGAAAAGAGGTTAAGCTAAACAGCTGAACTTTAAATAGCCATAAAATTTGACGAATAATGGAAAGATCTATGCGTGCAAATTATACACCGAATAACTTTAATTTTACTATGCAACCATAGCATTTATCATTTAAGATGTTTAAAGAGTTATTAAAATTTTCAAGTTCAAAAAAAGTTAAAGAAGGATTTTAACAAAAAATAAAACTTCCAATTACCTAGCAGAGTAACTAATTATACTCTAATAACGGTTACAAAATAGAATTTTAAATTTTTTATTCATTTACCAGCTGTCTGCAGCGACTAGTTGGTTCACCTACACGAACTCACCGCTTCGCGATTCCAAAGTGTCGTCCGCTTTCACGAAATCACCGCTTTGCTTCGCCAAATTGATTCTGCTGCTTTGGCAGCATTGCTCTGATTCTATGGCGCTTGTATTTTAGAAATAAACTAAAGGAATGGGGTAAATTTCTTGCTCAGACTCATTGCTTTGCTGCTTCCTCTTTCTATTCACAAACATAAACCCCGCCCTTCGGCGGCATTTTCATTTGAATTGATGCATTTATATAAAATGGAAGTTAGTAAGAGTTTCGTTTTAAAAGTACTTTAATTTGTCTATAAATGTTCTTTACTATAATATTAACATCAAACAAACACGGCTGTCAGTGGGAGCATATAAGGAAATTCTCTGCGACACTCTGAAACACATTTTCAGCCTAAAGGATCCAAATACTTTAATATTAAATCTGAATAAATGCTGCTCTTATAAGTAATATATGCTACGAAAAGAAGAAATATCACTCGATATCGTGGGGCCTCGTATTAGCTTATAAAAGGCTAACTCCCTGAAGGGAAAAACAATAAAAGAACACTAAAAAATCTCAATTTATGTGCTGTTATTACTTGTGGGTTATTTTGTTTTAATAAGAGAATAGGCATCCTCTGGCATATTTGACAAACTCCCAATTATTTTATAATTTATTTTTACCACCAGTGAATTAGCTGAACAGTAACCATGAAAAATTTTATTCAAATTTCACAGCATTTAATAAAGACTGCTTATGGAATGAAATTCTTTATAAAAAAACAAACTGAAATTTCTGATTATCTTGAAATTACCGCACTTCACGAATTAAATAAGAATGAAATATTCCATTGTATAACCGTTGTTGAACAGTCGACCCAATTTTGAGTTTACAGCTAGCACTGTTCAACTCCGCAGCCTTGTAATTCTAAATCCAATCCTGAAGACAAAGGAACTCCTGGATCAAGTATTGGTGGAGCTACCCCCCTTTTGCGTTACATGTAGAGGAAAACCTCTCACGATTAGCCTGACGGCAAGAAGACTAACCAATCATCTGTCTACTACTGAGGATATTTTACGTCAGCACTGCCGTCAGTGCGAGCTTTGTACGTAATTCGTATCTCCAGGATTCGAGTGAGGTGACCACCTGAGACTTTTCGTTTGAACTCGATAGGCTTTAAAGCTCAAAAATGTCGAAAAAGCTAACCAAAAATGCGCATGAAAAAATTCATAATTAAAAATCTAATTTAAAAATCGAAAATTGGGCTTCGTAATTTATTTAAAAATGTACTCATTTCATCTCATTCTGAATGTCCTATTTTAGTGCCTATGGTATACCTGTAATCTGGTATGCAGGCATACATACACACACAAATTCTTAATTTTATTTTGTATAGATGTATAGATATCGATTTATTTATTTGTTTATTCTGCTCAAGTAATTTTTAGTGCGACTTATAAAGTATGACAACCTATTAAGCTTCGAAATTTTCAATTCCAAATGTTCTTCCAAATTTTTGCGATAATTTCCGATAATTTTACTTTCTTTTTTTATTGAAGTCTAAATTCTAAATATGTCTTTTAAAATTTTATATCTACGGTATCAGTCTATTTCCTGACTTTTGAGTTATGAGGATTCCAAAGTCTTTTTTTTTCCTTCTGTTTTTTATTACAGGATTTTTTTTTTCTGCATTCCTTACATTATTCTTTTTCAATGATATTCGAAATGTAAATAAACCTTTGAAACATCGCGTTTACATTGAACAAAACTAATTATTTAGCACGGCTTTTTGTTAATAATATTTTAATATCCTCCACGTGCCTTTGGGCACTTAAGGCCTCTAGCATATCCCTCCAACGCCTTCTGTCTCTAGCAATAGATCTTGCTTACTCACAGTCAGATATTCTACATTCTTTTAATTCTCCCAAAAACATGCGCTGGATGGTAAGTCTGGGTCTTCCTCTTGTTCTTTTACCATCAGGGGCCCATGTAAGCGCAACAGATGTAATTTTTTCTTTGGGCATTCTAAGGATATGTCCGAGCCAGCTCCATCTTCGTTTTTTAATTTCATCTTCCAAATATTTTAATATACATTAATTACATTATTAAAGTTTGTTTAAATAGAGTTGCACAATTTAGTAATTATTTTTTTTAAACCTTTGAATGCCAAAGCTACATAATTCGCACATTAAATTTAGGCTCAAAAAGAAAGTAAGATAAAGAAGATAGAGGCTAAATTTTTATATGGAAAATAAAATAATAATAATAATAAAATCACGGGTCATCTGCAGTTTAGTGTATAAAAAGTATCCAGTATGGTGAATAAGTCAACAATTCGATTTGAATTTATTTGATATACAATTAAGCTATATTTTAAAGTATAATTAAAAAATCTTACTTTCATACAATATTTAATAAACCTCTGCATGAAGAGGTTGGGGCAATATAGGTCACACTTATAATACGCACTTATTCTAACGCTGACAGTTTTGCCTCAGATTTATATCTGAGTACTGTTTCCATTACAAGTTTTCGGATAGATAACAGCAAAATACATCGAAACTTCTAATTGCCTACAACTAAATCGTGTTATTTTCCACCATAACTATTTGAAAATGTGGCTTATCATCATACTGCCTCAAGCCGTTCACATGAACTTGGCAATGGTTTGGTGAAAACAGACATTGAATCACCTTTGACATTCGTGTAGAATTATAATTTTATTTTAAATGCAAAATAAATCTAAATAATTAATAAGATAAGAACGAGCCGCATATTTACGATCGAATTTCTTATAGAGGGAGAAAATATCTAATCCAACCAATAAAACAAATAAAATAAAACTTAAAGAACTATATACCTTGGATGTTAAATCTAAGATAGATGTTTTCTACAAACAGCTTCTTATCTGCTTAATATAGATAAAATTTTACAACAAAGTCTATTTGGGGTTTAAGAATAATGTCCACATACTCGAGCAGCTGTAACAACCATTTATTTATATCTTTTTTACATTATAAAAGCGTATATCAGCATTTTGTTTGTTTACTATGACGATTTTATCGGTTTCCGGTTATCTATTTCTGCAAGATTAAAAGCTGGAGCTGTGGTGGTTTAGAAAGGTCGAGACAGAACCATGGAAGTTAGGAAGTCTTGTCATTAAATCCCTAAAGAACGTCTGCGATTACGAAAGAATACCTTGAACAAGAGTTTATACGCAAAACAAGAAACTACGATTAAAATATTTATTTATTTATTGTAACTCATGCATATGCAGGTTTGTATGGTTACTATAAAGACGGCTTTTAAGCTCTAGTCAAGTTGAAGAGCAGATAGCCTGAATTAGAGAAGGACATCACAAAGATACATCCTGGAAACATGGTGGGATTCGAACCTGTAATATCCGTGCTACAGAGGGTTTGGTGGATCGGCGACACAGCCCTGCTAGGTAAGTCCGAAATCAGAAATGGGTATTTAGCTCAGTTTAAGCTCTTATTTCGATACTTAAAAAAGCGTGAATTCCTTTAGCTTGCTTCATGACTTTAATTTTCAGATGACTCTAAATGGACTTGTAAGCTTTCAGTAGTCTCAAGGCACGAACCTAAGGTTTTCTCTAAATCAAAACCAGTTCAGTGGTGGCTCATTGGACAGAGTGACCAATGAGGTGACCCGAGTTCAAATCCCAGCGATGGCTGGTCGATACGAATTCCGCATTCGGCTCACTCCAACGACAGTGCAGACGAAAAATATCCTCAGTGGTAAACGGATCATGGGTTAGAGTCCCCTTGCCGTCAGGCTAATCGTGGGAGGTTTTCGTGGTTCTCCTCTCTGTGGTTCATAGCTTCTAAGACCTAAAAAAATAAGCAAAAATAACAGTACAAAAGTAATAGCTTTCAATTTGATGTATGGTCACTTTACCCTATTGGATAATTGATAAGTTGATTATGATTAACTAGTGTATACCAGTTACTACGAATATAAAAAGCAAAATTATAACAACTATTTAAGAATAACTGTGAATAAAGATCGTGAAGTGACATTACTCTAAGTTAGTGTGAAGTGACATTACTCTTAGAGTGATTAAAACATTACTCTAAGAAAATATCTAATTTATTTTGAGATCAGTTTTGAATAACATTTTAAGTATTAAAAAATAGCCATTTTAAAAGTGTACATCTGAATACATTGTTCAGCAAATAATGATTACAAGAGCTTTGCATGTACATCTATCATATCATGGACATATATTAATATTAGGGACACGTATTTTTATATAAGTATATTAATAATTTGGTATAAATAATAAAATATTAATTTTTAATAAATTAATTAAAAGATAGTAATAATACAGACTATACGTGTATTTTATGAAGTGTGTATGTTATGAAATTAAATTATCGTTGTTTTCACTTAAAAAAAAAAAGTTTATAAACTCATGTCATTTCGAAGAGACCGGATTTTTTTTACAAAATTTGACTTACAGATCTCTAAGAATCATCTTGAGTAACAGTTCGCGGCCTCAAAAGCGAAAATCGTCATGTCTAAAGTTATTAAACACTTCGAATTTTGAATTTAAAAAAATAAAAAAAAGGAATAAAACCAGCAACCAATTTAGAAATTCAGGTGCTGTAGACACAGAGCTGTTGGGGATCCCTTTACACGTAATCTTGAAACATATATATAGTTTGTCTATGAAAATAATTCCCCTAGCCTTTCGTCTGGAATAGTGGTTACGAGGCTTAACTATTTCAAGTAGGGCGTTGGGGCATTATTTAAGACTGGTTTTGGCTTTGGTCAGCGAGAGAAAGAGAATCACGGGAGAAAGAAGCTCTCCTCTTTGAAATGTGCTTTCTCTTGCTTCCGTAGCAGCAGGCGTTCTTGGACTTCGTGGTGAGGGGAGTTCTTTTTAAAGACAAACAATATATATACAATTGCTTCTGCACAAATTGCTTTAGAATTATTTAGTTAAACAATCTTAGATTTATTAAAATTTTTGTTAACTTGATGTTGTTGCTGTTGTAGTTCATTTACGTCACACTAGAGCTGCACAATGGGCTATTGGCGACGGTCTGGGAAACATCCCGGAGGATGATCCGAAGACATGCCATCACAGTTTTGATCCTCTGCAGAGGGGATTTGTTAACTTGAAATCTTAGTTAGCAATTCTCAAGAGACATGTTAAACGTTATGGCGAAACTTAAAGGGAGCTAGATACCCGAGCTAGATTAAAACAGTCACTGAGTTAATCCCACAAAATGGCATTCCACAAAATCTCATTTCTTCAACATCATTTTCAATTTGATATTTCGATACAAAAACAAAGAATCCAATCTCTCTACTTGAACTCCATTATATTCCATTCTACAATCCAATCGTCCCATTCAAGTACATTATGACGGCAATTTTTTTCTTCTCCAACTTCTGGAAATCGGCAACGAGTTTAAGATTGCGTCCTCTCAAAAAGATGCGACACAATGGCATTGTGAACGAGAAAAAAAAAGTGCTGAGAAAAGAAAACTGTTACCTTATTAGTTGTTCGCCTGGAAGAAAACCGTCTCATTACGGGGACAACAGCATCCCCAGAACTATTGTGAAAGATCTGGAAGGGCACTGTTTCCTTGTCTTCAGATTGAGATAAGTCAAAGTCACTGGGGTTAATTGATTTTCAACGAGGCTTAATTTCCAGGAGAAGAAAAGAAAGCGGGGAAAATAAAAGATAGATGCTATTCACGCGGCTTGTTAATGTAATTGGAGATTTTCGAATACAGTTCAGTTATTTTTCAGATGTGTCGCATACAATGTCGGGCTTTTATGTCGCCTTTGCAGCACCGAAATGGTTATTCTGATGCTGATGAAGATAAATGGGTTCCATGGTAATTAGCAAATAGGTTGGGTAGTTATTATTATTGTAGTTTTACGAAGCGTGTGATGGCCGTTATAGATTAGAAGTTCGGAAACGCATCTATGTTCAACCTGGCGAAGCTTGATTTGAATGTGTGAAAGAGGTGTTTTGCTTCTTTTTAAACAGATATTTCGATATTTCAGATTTTAAAGATTAAGCTATATCGCGGGAGAAACCCTTCATGGGCAAATTCTTTTTCACCTACAAAAGCGATTTGTTGTTGTTGTTGTTGTTAATTTACGTCGCACTAGAGCTGCACATTGGGCTATTGGCGACGGTCTGGGAAACATCCCGGAGGATGATCCGAAGACATGCCATCACAATTTTGATCCTCTGCGGAGGGGATGGCACCCCCACTTCGGTAGCCCGACGACCTGCGCGTGAAGTCGAGCACTTTACGGTAGCACAGTTTAACGACCAATACCGCACACCCTCGGTCCCTACGCAGACTGATCCAAGTGGTCACCCACCCGCACACTGACCGTAGTCAGTGATGCTTGACTTCGGTGATCTGCTGGGAACCGTGTCTTAACGATCAGTCCACTGCGGGACATAAAAGCGATTTAAAATTCAAAGTATAGAAAAAATAAATTCAGGTAAACCTGAAGTAAGCCTATTAAGTTTTTAATGCTGAAGAAAAATTCAAAATATCAAAATGCGAAAAAAAAAATGAACAGCCAATTTTGAGTTTGCGACAACCAATGCTCAACTTCGTAGTCTTGTAATTTTGAACACAATCCAGACGACAAGGGAACTCCTAGATCAAGTATTGTGAGAAGTATGCCTTCGTGGAGGACTTTTTGATTAAATTAACCAGCATTTGTGCTACATGGTGAGGAAAACTATAAATACCTCCCACGATTAGCCTGACAGCAAGGGGATTCTAACCCATGATCCGCGTACCACTGAGGATATTTTACTTCAGCACTGTGGTCGGTGCGAGCCGGGTGAGGAATTCATATCGACCAGCCATCGCTAGGATTCGATTCAGGTTCAACTCAGTGGGAGGTGAAAGCTCTGTCTAAGCCACCAGGGTTTGACAGGGTTTAAAATCACGCTGTGGGGAAGTTGTCCTGCAATAATTTTTTTCTCCTCTAGTAACGAACATTAAAGACTCAAAAGTTTCTATAAACGCTTTAGTTAAAGGTTTAGAGCTCTGTGACGGAGACTATACAAATAATAATAATTAAAAAGAAAACTTAGGTTCATATTGCTTGACAATAGATTTCATCATTAAGTTTTCTAATGAAAACTAAATATTGATAATAGTTTAGGGTTGCAATGTTTCGGGTCCAAAATATAATTGTAATTCATAGTTAATTTTGATTCAATATTTTTTAAAACTTAAAATATCTAAAACTATTATTAGCTTTTTTGCGAACGGTTTTTCTGAGAGACATTTGAAAGATAATTAAGTGAAACTTTTTTAGTTATTTTAAATTTTTCAGTTTTAATCCTTTTATTTTTTTAATTCCTTTTTTTTAATTAAAAGACTTGATCTAATAAAATTTTTAAAAAAATTTAAAAAAAAGGCATCGCTAAACGTTATAAGATGATTTTTAATGAAAACCGATAAAGAAGCTAAAAACAATTTACATAATACATTAAAAGGAATTTGGATTTTATTGGTTTTAAAAATGAACGGCTCGAACTATCTGTAAGAAACCATCCAGGTAAATTTTTCTTCTTCCTTAATTACGAGCTTGTTTAATTGTTACCTAATGCGTAAATGTGATGTGAACTAAAATGATATTTTGATAGGTGAATAAAATATTTTTTTGGCGTGTCTCGTCTCATATCATTTATTTGCTCACTTTTCTCGAATCCAAGACAAATGACAACGTTTTGAATTTCGGTTTTTTCTGACACTGAATAATAAAGGTATCCGTTTCCCTTAACATATTAATTATTCAGTTTACAAACACGCTCTTACAATGGATCAACTATTTATGCCTGAGGGGGCCTGGTGTGTTTTTCGAAAAACAACCAGCTTGACCTCCAACCAAATTGCTTAGTTGCCTGTTGGCTTTTTAATTTATTTATGTACCATTTAAGTATTTATGAAAGAAGAGGAATGTGAAAATTGAGGCGAGAACAAAACGCTGGTATTCGTTGCCTGAATAACTCTTCTCATAAAGACGCATCTGTAAGTGTAATATAATTTCAACTGTAATAGGGCAAGTTGAATTTTTTTTTATTTTTTATAAATTTATTTTGTACCTTCTTTCTAAGTGCAGTTAAGATGTTTGCTAAGTAAGGAAGAAGAGGTGCATTGGAAATTTTTCGAAACTAACATTATATGCAAATATTACAGGGAAAACGTGGATGGTTTGACTAATTCTACCTATTTTTAAATTTAAAGATGTATTTCGTCAATGAACACCAAATTGCAACAATGGTATTAAACAAAATTACATGTTCTCTCGGTCCATTAGCCATTTGAAATTAATTCCAGGAGAATTCCTCACTATTTTCACTAATATAATATTCATCCAAAAAACGATTTTTCTTTATTTGTTTATTTATTTTTTATTTGCTGTTAACCA